TGGGACATTAGTGAGTGAAGGGACATGATAGGAAGGGGAGATCATGCAGGCAAGTTAGGAAGCATAAGTTTCTTGCAAAGCAATGCAAAGCCTATGGGAGGTTAAGGCAGGTGGGTAATGTGATTAAATCATGATTCAAGGCTCATTCTTACTGCTGCATCTTTGTAAGGCAACCAGAGTGGAAGTATGCTGACCAATCAGGAGCTGTTTCCATATTACTAACTTGGAGTGAGTAGTGTTAAGCTAAGGTTATAGCAATGGACTTCGAACAAAAGGAAGGATTGAGATACATAAAATATAACTCTGACAAGCATGACATAGGACAGAAAAGCAGGTAGCTGAGGAAGTGAGCAGGAAAGAGTGATGGAAGGTGAGCGTCGGAGGTAGAGGAATCCATATCCAAAGGCCAGTTAGGAAACTTGCTGTCAAATTGGAGGAATTTGTGTCAAATTATTACATGGGAGCAAAGGGATAAAGAGAGGAACCAAAGTGTCATTTCCAGCTTGAGCAGAGCAAATTATACTGTCAGTGTCATCTACTGAGACAAGGAAATCCTGGGGAAAAATTGATGTTGGAAAACAAATCTAGATTTGGTTATAGACATGGTAAAAGACTCAGATAGTACAACTTGTATGATTGTTGGGCCAAGTAAATGACCAATGCTAAAAGCCTTTCCCAATGAGCCTTTAATGTAAGAACTAAAAATTTTGATTTTATATTTTTATCAACATTTACTCACAACTATCTCATCAACACAAGAACTTAACGAAAGGCAGCTCCATTTTCCAAACCTCCATATCCATAGGCACGGCGCATTCTGTAGAAAACGTCACCTTGTCTTCTCTCCCTTTGTCACATGCAATCAAACGTATTTTGTGAATGAAAGGGAAAGTGAAGCAGAGGCAAATTGAATCGACAAGCCCTATGCATCTGACTTTTTTGCATGACGATTAAGAGTTTTTCACAGATGGATTTTATGACATCTTTCCATCATTAGTTAAGCCCGTCTTAGAAAAATTCTACTCAGGAAACGTCTGGAAGGCAGGTCGATTTGGTTATCAAAGAAGCTTGCTCCTATAAACTCAGAGTATCTTTAGATAGAAATTACGGGTAGAAGAAGAGAGCGGAATTTCCCACTCCCTCCACATCTGCTCTCAAATCTGCCCCTACCGCCACCTCCAGATGATAAACAGTCACTTCTTGACACATTCACATACTGAGAAAGGAACATCAGCATAGGAAATAATTGCCACACAGAAACATAACTTTCACTTGCCCTCAGATATAAAATGCACCAGGACACCCTCTGTGAGTTGGAGGAGGGGAAAGCAATTATTTGATCCACACTCTTTATCAACATCCCTGAAGCAGAAAGCAAATGAATAACTAGTAAAGGGATGTCACTTCCAGACACTGTGCTCTAAAAAAAAGCAAAAAGGACACACATCTATCCTGAGTTTGGTCTGGATTTGCCTGTGCAGTGAGTAGACAGCTGTGGGTCTAGTTGGCACTTATCACAAAGAGTCAGAAAGGAAGGATACACTCAGGGAAATGTCTCTGCAGCTTTCTAAAGGCCAATGGCACTGGAGTACTTGGGTACCACATGCAACCCCTCAGATATTCCTCGTGGATGACAGCATTTCATGGGGTTGCCAGGTGATTTTTCAGGGTAATTTCTGATGCATCTGAAATGTTGTGTCTTCATATGGTTGATACAGGCTGATCGCCTGTCTTGCCCTGCAAGAGCTAAATTTATCATTTTTAATTGACAAGAAAACTCTGAATTCAGTCAAAGCAATGTGGAAGGACTGAGAGTCATCGAAAATGCTACTAGAAAGGTCTCTTTCCCAAAAGGGCATTTTGCCCTTAAGAAGCACAAATGAGGCAGGCTACTTTGGAATGTGCTGCTTTACGCAAATGCACGTTTCTCCCCACATCACCTGTGCGTCATGTAAAGTACATTTCCTCTGGTCGTTATGCATTTTCTTCAGCAGCAGAGGAACTGTTCATGGAAAAGGCACAGTTGTCAGCCATTGACGTAGTGCTTTTCAGGAAGCTTGATCCGGCCCCCCCCCAGAGCCTGATTGTTTCTTGGGGTCGTATGTTTCTCTTCTTCAGATGAGAATGCATATCCCAAGACAGGTTCCATAAAAAACTAACATCTAGAAATCTATAAGTATCCTAACCTTTAAAAGCGGGCATTAAATAACCATCAGCAAAAGAAATAGCATTGGAAACAGCCCAGGCTGCGGTCATCCACAGATGCACAGCGTGGAACTCTGACAATCGCAAAACAGGACAAGGAGGGCAGGCTCAATTTGATTCTAATATAGATTTAATATACACA